GATCGCTTGAGCCTGGGAGGTCAAGGCTGCAGTGAGCCGTGATTGCGCCACTATACTCCAGCTGGGCAACACAGCAAGACCCTGTCTCAAAAAAAAGAAAAAAAACAAACAAATGAATTCTCCTGGGCTCATCAGTGACTCCACAGGGCTGTGACTTCATGGCCGATACTGGCTGAGTGTGTGGAGAGGGGAGGTGCCAGGGTGAGGAGGCAGAGATCGGGCCTGGGGTTAGGGGACATGGGCTCAGAGTGGCTGGGGGCTGGTCTTGGACCCTGTGCCTGCTCCTCCTCTGCTGGGTTCATCCCTGTGAAATGAGGAGGCAGGAGATGGGCCGTCCGGCCCCCACAACCCTGAGCAGCTGGAGGAGTCAAGATGTGTCCACAGAGGATGGTGGGACGTAGACGTTGCTGGCTCCTCTCTCACCATGGTCCTCACAGCTCACCCCCAGAAATGCTAACCCTCAGGACTTGCCCGTTTTGGTCTCCTCACTGAGGGGCCTTCCCTGACCCCCATTCCCCCTGGGCTCCCCCATGCCCCGTCACTCCCACAGGTTCCTGGAGCACACGTGTGTGGTGTGCAGGTTGTTGACCCCTGCCTGCCTGCCAGGTGGTGCACAGGGCTGTGTCCTGACGCCGAGACTGCCGGGTAACACCATCCTTCCCTCCTCACTCCACGCAGGAGTCCAGCTCTTAGCTGAAAACACAGCCCCTGGGGTGGAGACATGACCTAGCCTCTCCTGCAGCTCCAAGTACCCAAGGGACCCAGCTGTGGCCACGGGGGCAATAAGCAGAGGTGGTGTGTGCAGAATCCAGCAGCACTCGTAAAAGTGTGGGTTGGGAGGTTGGGAAGAGTATGCCAGCGTTTCCTCCCTTCTGGATGCAAGCAGACATGATGGCTGGAGCTTCAACAGCTGTCATGCACCACGAGGCAGAAAGCCTATTTGGGGATTGATGGGGCAACCAGATTAAGGGGGCCTGGGGTCCTGATGATTGTGAGGCCACCTTCTCAGTCCTACTACCTGGACATGAAAATACAACATTAAAAGCAACCATCTGAGATTTGGGTTTGTTCTGTCGTTAGCAACCAAATCAAACTGGACGGTATCCCTGGAACCTAGCATGCTGCTTGGCATGGAAGTAAAGGTTTGCTGAATGAGTGAGTGAGGAGGCAGGCTTTGCAGATGGGATGAACTTTGGCAGGGAAGGAGGGCAGCTGTGACCAGCAGCAGGCTCAGCAGTGGCTGCGGGACCTGGGTGGGCCATGGCCTTGCAGTGCAGAGACTCCTCCCGTCCCCTGGTCCCCACCTGCTGATCTCGGGCTCAGGGATGCCGGCAGGGGTCAGGTGGGGAGCGTTCCCAGGAAACGTGGCAACTGTCCTTCCTTGGATGATGCATTACCTAGAATAGCACTCTACAGGCTGCCCATGGATTCTCTATTCTTTTACTTAATTTTGCTTTTCGTCACTCCTGCTCACCGTTCAACACCTCAGGAGGCCGTTCTGTGCGTCAGGCTGGAGTTGGTTTCTAAGAGACGGGGTGTCTGACGATGCAGACTGAGTCTTGAACGGTCAGACCCCTGCCATGTGCTGGGGCTGTGCCAGGCCCTTCCCAGAGACCCCCCGTGTCCCCCTGTGACACTAACCTGGCTTGGGTGATGAGGGAATGGCTCACCACGCTCCCACACGCCCCACGCCCGTGGTTCTGCCAGCCCTTTACCAACCTCACTCCTGGACAGACCTCATGAGTACTCTGCCCTGCAGTCAGCTCCCACATTTGTGGCTTTGGTGAACGAGCCCAGAGGTGTGCCTCAGGCTGAACATCACACAGCAAGACAGGGCTTGGTTAGGTGTTGGGACCAAAGTTTCTTCTCCCCATTTCCTATGTTTTAAGATGTGGTTGGAAGCCTGGGCTGCCTGGGGACATGTGGGAAAGATGCAACTGGGAGGGTGTCTCCTGTGCCCTCGCTTCACAGAAGCTCTTCCAGGCCATTCCTCGGGGCCTGCATGAAAGGAGCCATTGCTGCGGGGGGCAGGACGAAGCTAATAGAAGGACATCCCATCCCCTGTGAGCTTAGGAGCCCAAATCAGCTCCAATAGAAGTGACATTGGTGTTGGGGTCCAGCACGTCTGCCGGGGGGCTACCGACCTGCGGGAATCCCCAAGACCGCAACGTAGATGTCTCATTCAACCTGAGGGAGAGAGTGTGCGGAAGTGAAAGAAAAGAGAAAAGCGGAGTCTGGAGGGCTGGCTTAGGCTATGTCCAAGCAGCAATTTTATTTTTGCAATATGTTCCATTATATACTTTTCTGAAGTTAATGTTGTTTACACCAGATCAACATACTTAAGTTACAGTAAGCAGGTTACGCCCACTAAGTTACGCCCAGTAAGTAAGTTAAGCCCAATAAGTCAGTTACGCCCAGTAAGTTATGGTAAGTAAGTTACACCCAGCAAGTAAGTTATGCCCAGTAAGTACTTAACAATTGTAAATACTTAAGTCACAAGGTAAGCAAGTTACAGTTACCCAGTAAGTTACGGTAAGTAAGTTACCAAGTGTAAATTCTTTTTTTAATGTATTAGTTTTTTTTTTTTAATTTTTTTTTTGAGATGGAGTTTTGCTCTTGTTACCCAGGCTGGAGTGCAGTGGCGCGATCTCGGCTCACCGCAACCTCTGCCTCCTGGGTTCAGGAAATTCTCCTGCCTCAGCCTCCTGAGTAGCTGGGATTACAGGCACGCGCCACCATGCCCAGCTAATTTTTTTGTATCTTTAGTAGAGATGGGGTTTCACCATGTTGACCAGGATGGTCTCGATATCTTGACCTCGTGATCCACCCACCTCGGCCTCCCAAGGTGCTGGGATTACAGGCGTGAGCCACCGCGCCCGGCCACCAAGTGTAAATACTTAAGTTAATATTTTACAATGAAGGTAACAAGGGTCCAAAATGAACACAATCAAGCAATAAACCATAAGGAGCTGAAAGTGGACACAATGCCTCCTAAGTCTTCATATCCATAAAGTAATGTCTGTTAATTATTTTGAATAGCACAGTCCCTCTCTCGGTTCCTGCTTTCCCTCAGCTCGACTCCCCCAACCGGGGATCTGCGTCTGGGCTCAAGCTCACCGTATGGCGAGGCCCATTTCCTAGGGGCCTCACATGGGAGCGATCCCCACAGATCCCTCACATTGGCTTGAGTTATAGAAAACCTAACGAAATCTAATGAGGCAGTCCTGTAAAGGGAACAAGGGCTTATTTTCCTGATGGTGGTGAGTCTGAGGGTGGCCCTTGGAGCACCAAGGCAGCTGCTGGGACCCTGGCCCTTGCTGGACACATGGCTGCTGTTCTTGGGACACAGTGACCACACTCCAGGCTGGAGCAAGGAGAAAGGAAGGCCATCAGTGAGGGCGCCTACATGTGCGCCTTCCAAAGGGCCAGGAGGCTCCCTCGTGTTTCCTGCAGTCATCCCCTGGGCAAACTGTGTCACAGCTGGCCCCAGCTGCTGGCGAGGCTGGGTACATTGATGCCTTGAACAAAATTGGGGTTCTGTGTCGAAGGCACAAAGGAGGCCTCCTTGCACTCCAGCTGTGTGGAGAAGAGTGAAGCCCGTCCAAATCCTGGCTGGGCGGTGAGATATGCACATGCCACTGCCTCCTGGGGCAAGGTGAGACTCAAGTACACCAGAGCAAGGAGCCTGGGTGGGCCCAGGACAGGCCGGCCTGAGCACATACATGCTGGTGGGAGTGTGGCCCTCTTCCCTCCCACACGTGTGCACACAATTTGTGCCATATACTACTGCTCCCATGCTCAAGCCTGGCACACACTTTTGCACTCTCACCTGGCGTCCAGGCACACACGTGCACTGTGTGCACACAGTACCAAGCATTGTCCAGGAGTACACTTTTGTGTTCATGTGCACAGAACCCATGTGCACACACGTGCACAGTCCTGGGCTGCAGAGAACCCTAGCCAAGGGGGCAGTGGGGGATGGGGAGGGCACGCCTCTTCCCAGGAGCTCAGCAAGGCTCTTCTTGGGAGCCCAGGGCCGCCCACAGGGCTTCCGCGTGGGCGTCACAGGCAGTGAGATCAGGCGTCCTGCGTGAGAGCGGCAGGGGAACGTCCACCGGCTGGAGAGGGGCGGGGGCTCATTACGCTCGCTCTCCTGCCTTGGGTGTGGCTCTTGGTTCACCTGCCGAGAAACAGGCTGAAAGGGAACCCTGGCGGCCCATGGACACACACCCATGTCCCCAGGTTCCTCCCAGGTCTCTTATCCAGTGGGTCATGGAGGAGTGCCCGCAGGCAGAGCAGGGAGTGGGAGGCGCCCCAGGTCCCTGCGGAAAGGGTCCCTAGGAGGGTCTCCTCGAGGGGGGGGGGCTGCGACCTCGGGCAAAGGTCCCTCAGATGTCTCGACACTCAGTTTCCTCATCGGTGACACTGGGCGTTCGGAGTCCCCGCGGGGTCCATCTGCCCCAGCCTAGCACGGCCCCACGCGGAGCCCGCGTAGCAGCCTGCCTTGGGGCCCAGCAGCCCGAGACCCGCAGGTGCCAGGCCCGGCCCCAGCCGAGACCCGCCGCCCGCGTAGCCTCCATCTTCGTCGTGATCTCCGTGTGCAAAACGGGGAAACTGAGGCCCATCGCTAGGCAGGCAGGGACGGCCGGTTCGCGCGCGCACCCACAGAGGCCTCTTGGCCTAGGCGGCCGCCGTCTGCGCCGCTTCCGGCTCCTCGCGGGGACCTCTGGGGCGGGTAGTCCCCGCGAGCGTCCGGGCCCGGCGGCCATTGGCTGGTGCGGAAGGGGGCGCGTGCGCCGGCAGCGGGAGGGGCCGTCACGTGATGTTTGGGTGCCCGCCCCGCCGTGAGCGCACGGAGCGGCCCGCGAGCCACCAAGACCCAGGTGAGTCGGCGGCGGCGGCGGCAGCGGCGGGGCTGGGGCCTGGCTGCGGCCGGGCGTGGGCGGCGAGGGCGAGGCGGTCGGGGCCTGTCGAGGGGCCCGGGGCGGCGTGGGGCGCGGCGCAGCTGGAAGGGGCTCGCTGGAGGCCCTGCGGGGGGCGGGGCCGTGCCGGGCGGGGTGGGGAGGGGGCGGGGCCGCACCGAGGGCGGATCCGAGGGGCGCCAGGGACCCGGAGCCGCAGCCCACCAAGAGCGCCGCTTTTCGGGGACCGGCCCGCGGGCATGTGCGCCCCTCGGCGGGTCCTTGCGCGCTGTCCAGACCCCAGATCGGTGGGCTCTCTGGCCCGGGAGCCCGGTGCCCGCGCCTGGAGGTCGGCACTGTCCTGGGGACGCCGCAGAGCCTACTTGTTGGGTGCAAGGGATGGTGACCTGCCAGTCAACAAGCGGAGCCCGCCTTTGAGCCTGAGCTGGAGACCCCGCCCCTGGGTGCTTCCCCCTCCACGCCTTTCTGTCCTTTCTCGGAGCTGTAAGAAGGTGCTTCCTGGGTACCGGGGACGGGGACATCCCCCGCCAGGGGCTTTCAGGTGATGCTGGTCCTGCTGTCCTCGCAGAAACTCTCCAGGGGCCTCGCGTTTGTCGCCTCAGGGCGCACTTCTCGGCTCTGGAAGCCCCATCTGTGGTGTCCAGTGAGGTAGCCCTGAGGCAGGTGTGGCTGTTTACATTGACCTTAACATGTAGGATTCCAGCCCTCCGTGCCAGTGTTCACGTGTCACTCAGTAGCCACACGTGGCTGGTGGCAGCTGTGTTGGTCAGCGCAGGTGAGGAGCACTGCCTATCACAGGAAGTCCGTGCGTCTCTGTCCGTCATCCCGCCAGGCGCCTTTGCAACCACACCTGGCGCCCTTTCTCTCCTCCCCTGCACACTCGCCTGCTTTTCTTTTAGCTCCTGGCTCCTCCTGGCTTGGTGGCAGCTTCGCTTCTGGCGTGTCTCAGTTCACGCTTCTGACCACTCGCCTCCCTACAGCGTTTCCTGTTGTGATTTTCACTCAGCTGTTTGTTCTGTGTTATCTTTAGTGTCTGTGAGGCAGGGGTGGGGACTGTTGCTTAGGATACCCCCCATGTGGACATAGTACTCAGTGGAAGGAAAGCTGATGTTTGTTAGAACTGGAGTGCTTCAGCTGACTGAACCGCTGCTTTCACACGGTTCCACCTGAGGCATCACAGGACCTCCTCAGCAGAAAGCTGGTAGCGCAATTGTTTGGATGCAGCAGCGCAGGTCGTGAATGCAGGTGGCTGTGGGAGGCCAGCAAATCCAAGAAGACTTCCTGAAGGAGGTGGAGTTTTGGCTGGGTCACTTGTTTCTCTCCTCCTCTGCTGGCTGGCCCCATGAGCATCTGGCAGCTTGTGGCTGCTCTCACTCTATCCAGGAACCTTCCCTGGACACTACCCCTGAGTCTGGCCCTCTGCAGGTGCTGGGTCAAGAGCCTAGACTTAGGCCCTTGGTTTAGGGGCTCATGGGCTCGTGGGCAGCCAGGTGTCCCTAAGTCCCTTCCGCAGCTCCTCGTGGCCTGCAGAGCAAGGTCCCAGATTTGGCTCCCGCCGGTGGCTCCAGCCGCATCTTCAGCCCCTGCTTCACGTCCCTGACACTTCGGTCCTGTTTTCTGCACGCCATGTGGCTTTTCTCACCAGTGTGCCTGTCAGTACGGAGCCTTCTGCTTGGAATACCCGGCACTGCCGTGTTTTTCTCTCCTGTGTGCCTGCGAGCACCTGTGGCATGGACCTCTGTGGTGATACCCTTGTGTCCTGAGCCCCCAGCACCTGGAGGAGGATGGGCACCCAGCAGGTTTTGATGAATACATCAAGTAGACCTGTAAGGCTTCGAGGAAAACATGGTGAGAAGTGCAGCTGGGGGAGTTCACGATGCTGGAGCTCGAGACGGAGTCAGGGAGTCACCTTCCAGCTTGGGAGAAGAGACACACGCCTGTACCACGACTGTAGCAAGCCATTGGCAAAGGGGTGGCGGTGTCTGCAGGTGATGACACTCATGACACTAGTCACAGCACTCAGGTGTCAGGTGACCAGCTACCTGTGTTCGTGACTCAGTTTACTCTCACAGCCACTCTGGGAGGAGGGCCTGTTATCCCCATTTCCCAGATGAAGAGACTGAGGCACAGAATGGTGAACTTGCCGTGAGTTCCTCAGCTGTTGGGCTCCAGGGCTCCATTTATTCAGCGCAGACACACGTTTCTTCTGAGGTTGTTGGGCATTTGGTTCCTCTGAATGGCGTTTGGGCCATATGAACAGTTGGCAAGGAGCCAGGCTTCCTCCTCCTCCCTTTTGTCTTTTGAGATGAAATTTCACTCTTGTTGCCCAGGCTGGAGTGTAATGGTGCAGTCTTGGCTCACTGCAACCTCCACCTCCTGGGTTCAAGCGATTCTTCTGCCTCAGCCTCCCAGGGAGCTGGGATTACAGGCAAGCACCACCCCACCTAGCTAATTTTTAATATTTTAAGTAGAGATGGAGTTTTTCCACATTGGCCAGGCTGGTCTTGAACTCCTGACCTTAAGGTGATCCACCCCTGTCGGCCTCCCAAAGTGCTGGGATTACAGGTGTTAGCCACTGTGCCTAGCCCCCCCCCCCTTTTTTTTTTTGGAGATAAGAGTATCTCACTATGTTGCCCAATTTCCCAGGCTGGTCTTGAACTCCTGGACTTAAGCCATTCTCTGGCTTCAGCCTCCCAAAGTGCTTAGATTCCCAGCATGAGTCACGGCGTCTGGCTCTAGGCTTTCTTTTTAATGCAGGGGCGTTTCTGTGGCTACTGGGTTTGTCTGGGTAGTGTTATTTGCTGCAGGTAGATTTTAAGCTTGTGGCCCAGACCGGCTGTCAGTCACTGTGTTTTGTGCACCGTCAATAGTAACGGACTCGTGGGCATCCCTCGTCTGATTCCTCTGCTTTCTGCTGAAAGGCTTGGCCCCATCTGAACATTTGCTGCATCTGTGCGTGAGGAGTGGTGGCCCAAAGACTAAGGGCAGGAAAGAGTGCACAGGGAGTCGGAGAGCGCGTGGCCGGTGCTGGCTCTCCAGAGGCGACAGCCGCTTGTTCAGTGTGGATGCTTATGTTTGGCCCTGCTCGCTGTGCTGGGGGCCTCCTCATCCTGTCCCTCTTGGGTGCATTGAGGCAGCTGGGGAAGATCATTCATTCCGCCTGCACCCATGGTCCCCAGTGCCTTTCCACACCTCCCTGTCTGCCGCCCCACCCATGGGGATCTGTGTGTCTGAATGCCCGTCCAGCTGTGGCCCAGGGTCTGGGGTCCAGTGAGCACGTGGAGATTTGCTGAACAAGTGAGGGGTAGTGATAGAGCTGACCTTGAACTTGTGCTGTTCTTATTCCACTGAGAAGAGCAGCACGTCTGCCGGGGGCTCTTGGCCAGCAAGAGGGTCCCAGCCTGGATGGGGGGTGCTCGGAAGATAAAAGATGACAGACAGATGGGGTCTGGAGGGTTGAGAAGCTATGCTTCGCCAATGACTTTATTGCGCTCAGGGTCTGGTTATATATGTTACAAGTAGAGTTGCTTACATAAAACACAAAAGTTATTTCCATGAGATAAAGGGGAACACAACGTTTTACCATCAAATCGCAAGTCTCCTTACATCAGGTAAGTATAATGGAATACTTAAGTCACAAGGTAAGTAAGTCACGCTCAGTAAATACTTAACAATTGTAAATACTGAGGTTAATATTTTACAACGAATGTAGCAAGGATCCAAAATGAACACAATCAAGCAATAAACCATAAGGAACCGAAAGTAGACACAACGCCTCCCAAGCCCTCATATCCATAAAGTAATATCTGTTAATTATTTAACATAGTCCCTCTCTCGGTTCCTGCTTTCCCTCAGCTCGACTTCCCCCAACCGGGGATCTGTGCCCCGGCTCAAGCTTACCGTATGGCGAGGCCCATTTCCTAGGGGCCTCACACGGGAGCGATCCCCACATTCCACCATGCTTTCTGTTAGTGCTATACTGTGGAGCCATCTGGAAGCTTCCATAGGAAGAGTTTTCGTGATCCAAGTCCCCTGGCAGAGAAGAAGGGCCTTACCAACAATGAGAAGCCAGGTGCCTTGAGTAGGTTTCTGAAGATTTCTCATGGGCAGGGTGTCCTCACCCACGGAGCAGAGTTGGGTGGTGTCTCCTGCAGGGGCCTTGCTTCAGGGGGTCCTGCCTGCCATCCAGGGCGTCCTCCAAAGCCAGCTGTGTCTGTCCTGCCTGGCCTTATCCACTATGAGATTCTCTTGTTACCCTGAGACTTGCTGAGTCCCGGATGGGGGTGAAGGTGACTCCGTGTAGGCTTCAAATCCAGACTATGCTGTACAGGGCCCTTCCTTTCTGGTCCTTGGGTAGGTCCTGTTAGGACTTGAACACATTTAGGGGCCACTGCAGGCACAAGGACAGTCTGCTGGGGGTGTTGGCCTGGACAGGGTCATTGGCAGGTCTCAGTCCCAGCCCCAGCTGTCACAGCTGTTGTCCGAGATGCATGGTGTTCTCGGAGAACGCTAAGGCTGTGCCGGGCACGGATGCTGTGGCAAGCAGGTTCAGGCTGTCCTGACCTTGCTCAGGACACTGCTGTGCATCTTACAGAGCCAGGCCACAGCAGTGGGCAGTGAGGAGGCAGGCAGGGGGACTCACTCAGCTGGGGGTGTGCTTTGGGAGGGCCGGGGGTGCGCTTTGGGAGGGCCAGGGGTGCGCTTTGGGAGGGCCGGGGGTGCGCTTGGGAGGATGGGGGTGCGCTTTGGGAGGGCTGGAGGTCCGGTTTAGGAGGGCTGGGGTGTGCTTTGGGAGGGCTGGAGGTGCGGCTTGGGAGGGCCGGGAGTGCGGTTTGGGAGGGCTGGGGTATGCTTTGGGAGGGCTGGGAGTGTGCTTTGGGAGGTCTGGGGTACACTTTGGGAGAGCTAGGGGTACACTTTGGGAGCCCTGGTGTTCTGAGGCAGAAATCAGAGGTGCTGCTGACCGTTCTGCTGCCTGCCTGCCTGCCTGCCTGGCGGTCCTGCTCTGCTGCTCTCCAGGAGGACCAGGCTGGAAGCGACTTCACAAATATTCCCAGTGAGTTAGAGGATGTTATTAATCACGGCAGTTACTGCACTTATTAAGACCTAATCCTGTCCTTCCCTTCCATCTTGAGATGGCGTTCCGGAGCAGAGTGTGGCAAAGGTTTGCAGGCTTGAAGGAAGCCATGGATGGAGGTTGATATTTCTGGTGGAGAGGGGAGGTGCGCAGAGCTCATGACTCTTGTTCCAGCAGGGCTTGAGGCTCTGAGGTTGGGGTCGCATGAGCCCCCTGGCGGCTGTGGTTACCTGTGGATGGGGTCTTGGTGAATCAAGGGTTTCTAGGGCTTTGGGGCTGTGTGTGTGTGTGTGTGGACAGGTTGTGCGTGTGTGTGCCTGTGTGTGCGTGTGTCCTGAGCCTGGCTGTCATCTCAGCGGTGCAAACGGAACCTGTATGAAGGGAAGCTGGCGGGTGGTAGTGAAGGAGTTGAGT